CACCCCTGCTAGCCACGACATACCCCTGCTAGCCACGACAAACCCCTGCTAGCCACGACACACCCCTGCTAGCCACGACATACCCCTGCTAGCCATGACAAACCCCTGCAAGGAAACTTTCATTGTTTATCGCCAAAATAATTCACTATTTTGTTCAATCCCATTCCATTCTACTTCCTGCCTCCATTCATTCCTCAGTCATCCCGTCCATTTTTTTCTTCATTTTTCATTTCATTGTTTATTCATTTGTTCATTTCTTAGTTCATGTGGGCGAGTGTACGATCATTTGTTCGTTCCTCCCCACACACATTAATTACACTTAGTATTTTTTCTATTACTAAACACTGCCTGACATGACGATAAACAATATTCTGAATAGCTTTAAAGTTTAGCTTACAATCGTTCTCAATGGCACGCAAAATCGCACACGTACTGTAGTGACGAGGTACGTTTAGGTAGACGTTAATCAAAGCATTTTTAACCCTTAATGAAACCACTGGGTTAGAGTAGAAGGAACAAATGAAAGGCCATTCTTAGCTGAGTGAGCTCAAATAAACTCACCTGGAATATTGGTATGAGTTTTACAACATTGTAGTAACTGAAAACAGGCAAAAATAATGAATATTATGTCATGTACTTCCGAGTTACAGCCAGATAAAAAGCATAAAGTACTCCTCTTGAATAGATTCAATATAAACTGAGGTACTCCTAAGGTACTCCTTTTGAATAGATTCAATATAAAGTAAGGGACTTACACCATGTTTTGTATGCATTCTCTAACAAGACTTGGATCCATGTCTGCTTCATTAGCAATTCTTAATACATGATTAAAACCATCAATGTATGGCATTATCTAGAGAAGAAGAAGAAGAAGAAAAGACGAATGTTTAGGCTACTATAGAGGCTTTGCACCATCCCGTGATGGCAGCCACGACAGGAGGCACAACAACAGTCTTTTCCCCCAGGGAAACTGAATTCTTTCTCACGTAAATCAGATTAGATCAGATCCAGTTGTTCCTGCCACCTGTCATTGCTGCTATCATGTGATAGTGCAAAGCCTCTATACCTTATTAGGACAAGGGAGCACAGCAGACATACACCTTTTGCTGTTCATTAAGAGAAAATGTACATTCATTTGTGCCAATAGTTGTATCAATAACGTGTAATGTACTTTCATCAACACCACAAGTAACATCATTAGCGCG